AAGTCCACAAGTCTTAAAGTGGCCATGTTTGGAGACTGTGGGAATTCTGGGAGTTGAAGTCCACAAGTCTTAAAATGGACGTGTTTGGAGACCCCAGGAATAAACGAAGGGATAAATAAACAAATAGAAAGTAAATGCAACGCAGATGTCCTTCTGGTGAAAAGGAAGCTTGCAAAGATGATCACGCTTACGACGTATTATGCAATACCTGATGATTTAAAGCCACTTTTTTTTTTTTATTATTCAACATTTTATACATAATAAATACAAAGTTACACAGCCAATATAAAGAAAGCATCGGGGAACTGCTTCCAGTTTATTGACACTGTACACGGGGAGATATGTTTTGATTTGCATGCCCTTCTAGGAAGTTTAAAAAGGAGGCTTATTTTACAACCCTTTTTTAAAAAATAAAAATTAGCAGCTCTTACAGGAAATAGTTGGGTTTTTTTTTTTAAAAAAAAACCAGAACTCAGGAACTTTCATTTAAATAACGCTTTTCTGAATCGGGGAGAATCTGAGATTAACAGCAAAGACGGACCGATCAAATATATATATATATATATTTAAATGCAGAGCAACTGGCCAACTTCTGGGAACGTGGGAAGAATATTATTGTTGGCAAAAACAGTTCTGTTTTTCGCAAAACGTTTTAAAAATGTTTGCACTGAAGTTTTGTCGTTTCTTTTTCCCTCTTAGGAAAAAAAAAACCGATTAAAAAAACTTTAAGAAGTCCTAATAAACACTTAAAGATCTCGACAGATCCAACAGCACAAAAAAAATGCACGCCTCCCACCCCCCCAACCCCTGCCCCCCCACCCCGAAAACCTTTACAGGACTCTGCCAGATACTGGCCCCTGCTGCACAGGAATTGGCTGCATTTTCATCCCCTCCTTGGTGTAGTTAGTAGGCCAAATGAAATAAAGATTGGCCCCCTCCCCGAAGAAAAGAAAGGAGAGGAAGGGGAGAAGGAGATGGGAAGGGAGGAAGGGGAGAGGGAGGGAAATGGGAGGAGAGGAAGAAGAGAAGATGGGAGGGGAGAGGAAGGGGAGAAGGAGACAGGGGAGGGGAGGAGAGGAGAGGAAGGAAGACAAGAAGGAGATGGGAAGGGAGGAAGGGAAGAGGGAGGGAAACGGGAGGAGAGGAAGGGGAGAAGGAGATGGGAGGGGAGGGGAGGGGAGGAAGGAGAGGGGAGGAAGACAAGGAGGAGATGGGAAGGGAGGAAGGGGAGAGGGAGGGAAATGGGAGGAGAGGAAGAAGAGAAGATGGGAGGGGAGGAGAGGAGAGGAAGGGGAGAAGGAGACAGGGGAGGGGAGGAGGAGAGGAAAGAGAGGGGAGGAAGATAAGGAGATGGGAAGGGAGGAAGGGGAGAGGGAGGGAAACAGGAGAGGAAGGGGAGAAGGAGATGGGAGGAAAAGGGGAGGAGAGGAAGGAGAGAAGGAGATGGGAGGGGAGGAGAGGAAGGGAAGGAGGCAGAGGAGGGGAGGAAGACAAGGAGGAGATGGGAAGGGAGGAAGGGGAGAGGGAGGGAAACGGGAGGAGAGGAAGGGGAGAAGGAGATGGGAGGAAAAGGGGAGGAGAGGAAGGAGAGAAGGAGATGGGAGGGGAGGAGAGGAAGGGAAGAAGGAGACAGAGGAGGAGAGGAGAGGAAGGAGAGGGGAGGAAGACAAGGAGATGGGAAGGGAGGAAGGGGAGAAGGAGGGTAACGGGAGGAGAAGAGGTGGCGAAGGAGATAGGAGAGAAGGGGAGGAAGGGGAGAGGGAGGGTAAGGGGAAGAAGAAAGGAGAGGAGGGGAGGAGGAGGAGAAAAGGAAGGAGACACAGGGTAGGAGAGGATAGGAAAAAAAAAAGGAGGATTTTTTTTTTCAGGATAGACCCCAGCCAAGATTATCTGTGCAAAGTTTCAGACGAAGCTCTTTCCGTGAAATGAAAGCCAAGGAATTGGGGAGGGGGAGAAAATGGGACGCCAAAGAGCTTTGTATATCATCTTACTTACAGGTAAAACTCGGAACACATTGTGCAGGTGAGTTTATACATTCTATCCCTGAAAGCAGGGAAGCGCGTGGGGAACGGACGACGGACGACGGGGGGGGCTCTCGAGGGCCCAAACGCCGGTCGTCTTCAGGAGCATCTCCTGAACCCGGAACTTCCATCGGCCCCTAACCGCCATCTAACCGCGTCCCTCTTCTTCTCCTCTTCCGTCTTTCCCAAGAGAGATGGCTCTTCTCCAAATCGGATCATCTCGGCCTGGATTTTGAAGGGGGGGGGGATTGAATCAGGATGGACGTTTGGATGACCTCTGGGGTTCTTCTCGGGAGTCTTGTCGGGGAAAAAAAAAAAAACCCAAACGTTCGAAAAGGGGTAAAATCCTCATTTTTGTCTTCTTCCCTGTCCGGCTCATAGAAAAAAAATGCACTTATTTCTTTCCCAACCTTTGGTCTGCTTTAAACTCCGGATTCTGAAGGATCGAACAAGCTTTGATTCCATCCAGGTCAACGCAGTCGCCTTCAGGAAACGGCCGAGGTTGGAAAGGTGCCAGGTGACTTTTTTTTTTTTTAGACCTGAAGTTGACCAGGAAAGCTATGAAGAATAACCGAGATTTGACCCCCCCCCCTCAGGAGGAGGGCCGTGGAGGTTTGATTGGCAATATGCGGCCCCCCCACCCAATTTCTTTTCCCTTCCTTGCCCCCCCCCCTCCTGCCCGAGAGACCTTGTCCATTTTCACTGGAATTGGGAGGGGGGGGGGCAGCTGGGAATCCTGCAAAAATCTGTTGGGGGGGGTAGAGATGAGGTTGACGCAGCCATGGATCCACCCAAAGGATCTCAAATCTCTGGGCAATGCAAGAGGTGAGAGGAAGAGGAGGAGTCCATGACACCCCCAAACCCCCCCGCTTGAATTCCCTGGGTTGGAAGTGGCCCCGAGGGTCACCCAGAGATGGGCCGCCCAAGCCCAGAGGCCACCGGTCACTATGCGGGACATTCAGCTCCTGGGCTTATTAGCTGGAAGTCGCCAGGCCTTACTTAACGACGGGTGGCGAATGTCTGGGAACCGAGAAAATTAGAAAGCGATTAGAAGCGATTAGAAGTGATTGAAGGGGAGGGAAGGAGGGAGGATGGTTAGAGGGGAAGTTATAGGGACGAAGGGGGATAGGGAGGGAGAAAAGAAAGAAAGAAAGAAAGAAAGAAAGAAAGAAAGAAAGAAAGAAAGAGAGTGAGGGAAGAAGGGAGGGAGGTAGAATAGGAAAAAGAACAGGAATGAAGGGAGGAGGGAGGGAGGAGAAAGGAGGGGAGGAAGGATGAGAGGGAGGGAGGGAGAGAGAGAAAATGGGAGGATGGGAGATAGAGTAGGAGAAAGAACAGGAATGAATGGAGGGAGGGAGGAAGGAAGGAAGGGGGATAGGGAGGGAGAAAGAAAGAAAGAAAGAAAGAAAGAAAGAAAGAAAGGGAGGGAGGGAGGTAGAGTAGGAAAAAGAACAGGAATGAAGGGAGGAGGGAGGGAGGAGAAAGGAGGGGAGGAAGGATGAAAGGGAGGGAGGGAGAGGGAGGGAGGGAGAGAAAATGGGAGGATGGGAGATAGAGTAGGAGAAAGAACAGGACTGGAGGGAGGGAGGGAGGGAGGAAGGAAGGGGAAGACAAGGGAAGATGGAAGGGAGGAGAAAGGATGGGAATGAAGGAAGGAAGGGATGGAGGAAGGAAGGGGGATAGGGAAGGGAAGGACAGGGAGGAAGAAAGGAAGGAAGGAGGGAGGAAGGAGGAGAAAGGATGGGTGGGGAGGAAGGATGAAAGGAAGGGAGGGAGGGTGGAAAGGAGAGAGGGTAGGAGAAAGAACAGGAATGAAGGGAGGGAGGAAGGAAGGGGAAGGGGAAGACAAGGGAGGGAGGGAGTTTCAAGAGGAAACCACTGGCCATTTCCAGCCCTACCAAGAAAATCCTGCTTATTCCATTTCCTCCTGGGGAAACCCATTGCAGCCCTCGTGGGCCAGACCGCCCGCTGCCTAAACCGCCAGTCCAAAAGGAACTTCAAAGCCAGGTTGCCCCTCCCATTCTGAAAAGAGGGACCTCTCCCCCACCCCATATTTTATTCCCCCCTCGAGACTTTGCCCTGCTTTTGCAGAACTTTTTTCCACCACCCCCATCTCAAAAGTGGGGGGGGGGGTGCGAGAGGGACCACAACTCCTGACCGCCCGCCAGGGCATGGCTAATTGAAGAGGCTGAGAAAGAAAGAAAGAAAGAAAGAAAGAAAGAAAGAAAGAAAGAAAGGAAGGAAGGAAGGAAGGAAGGAAGGAAGGAAGGAAGGAAGGAAGGAAGGAAGGAAGGAAGGAAGGAAAGAAAGATTCGAATACATTCCTATGACAAACAGTAATATTCCGCACTAATGCACACGGTGTATATGCATATATAAATATATTTATTATTAAATAAATATATTTATATGACGCCATGATCTGGAGCAGGGCTACAGGTGGCACTCCCTAGGCGGAAAAGCGGAATTGGCTGCCGCAAAACCGAAACGCCAAACTTGTGCCAGGGATGAGCAAACGATGGCCGGGCAGAGGAAGGAAAGAAATCATCCAGGTCGAAACGTGGCGGCTTCCAGATATCCGGAGCCGCAATCCCGGCTTGCAAGACTCGGGGTGGGGTTGGGGGTGGCAGGGGGTACGGAGTGACGTGCGGTGACTGACAATTATGGTTCTACCACATCTGGAAGTCACCGAGTAGGGGAAAGGATGGATCAGACCAGGATGGGATTAGGACGGGTTTCCCCCCCCCGACGATGGTGGCCGGGGGTACAGTTGTAACGGCCGTGTGTAACTTTGGCGCATTCCCCCTTAAAAAAAAAAAAGAAAAGAAGAAGAAGACACCCCGAAAAGGCGCTGATCTCCAGCTGAAAAGGCATGGCTGCTGCGTGCGTTGTGCTACGAAGGTGACCCCGAGAAGGTGAAACACCCCCCCCCGCCCAAACGACGACAAAAACTTAAAAAAAGGCACAAATATATCCATATGACGGTGGGAAGAAGGACCTCTTGGACACACGAGTGTTCCTGGAAGGATCTTCCTGTTTTAACCGCGAGCTTTTCAGAGAGTCTCCTCGGTTGAAACCAACGTGCCTTACAAGGGCGAAGGACGGACGGACGGACGGGTTGGGCCTGGGTCCCAGCCCTGGGATGGGGGGTGGGGGGTGTCGGTCGGGGTGAGCGTGGTCACACCAAGGTGATTTCCACATCTTCGATCTTCTCGGGGGTCCGGCGGTGTTGGGTGGGGGGTGGCGGGGCGGCTCGCACCTGGAAACCAATCGAACAAGACCACCGTGAGAAAAAAAACGACGAGAGATTTTACAGAACAAGAGAATGCAAGAAGTCCTCGACTTAACGACGGTTCATTGAGCGACCAAAATTGCGACGGCACTGAAAAGAAAGAAAGAAAAAAAAAAAAAAAAAAGCGACCCGGGTCTGTTTTTTTCAAACTTATGACCATTGGAACATCCCCGTGGTCGTGGGATCAAAATAATACACAGACGCTTCGCCAACTAACTCATATTTACGACGGTTGCAATGTCCCGGGATTCCCCCCTTGTGGTGACTTTCCAACAAGCCAAGTCAACGGGGAAGCCAGATTCGCTTAACAACCGGGTGACTCACTTAACGGCGGCAGGGATTCGCTTAAGAACGAGTGGCGAGAAAGGTCGCGAAATGGGCCCAGGCTCACTGAAGCAACAGACATTTTGGGCTCCCGTCGTAAGTCGAGGGCTACTAGTTCAGGTAGTACAGACGGTCCTTGGCTTACGACCGCAATTGAGCCCGAAATTTATGTTGTTAAGCGAGACATTTCTTCAGTGAGTTTTGCCCCATTTTACGATCTTTCTTGGCACCGTTGTTAAGTGAATCACAGCAGTGGGTAAGTTAGTCACCCGGTTGTTAAGTGAATCAGGCTTCCCCTTTGACTTTGCTCGTGAGAAGGGCGCAAAAGCGGAGCACGTGACCCCTGGACTCATCTGATCTGTTGCGAAGCTTCTGTATTTTGATGATGTGACCACGGGGCGGCTGCAACGGTCGTAAGTGTGAAAAATGGTCATAAGTCACTTTTTTCGGTGCCGCTGTAACTTTGAACAGACACTAAACGAACTGTCGTAAGTCAAGGACTGTCTGTACATTATTAACTCTTTCTGACTTCATTGTTCCTAGCTTCAACAATTTGGTCATCGGCGGCAAATATCCATTAAGTCAAGGTTCACCTACGTTAAATAGTAAGTTGGAAGGAAATATCTGAAGTGCCGCTTTCAAAAGGGAATCACAATGTTAGGCCGTGTCAAATTTTTCAATATTTAAGAACTGCAACGATTCACTTAACAGTGGTGGGGCCGCCGCCGGTTCAGGCGAACCGGTAGTTCCAACAATCAGCTGGCTCCGCCCACCCGCTCCTGCCCTCTCCTATATTTCCTTCTTTCTGGCTCAGCTGATTCACGCGGCACAGCTGATTTCCGCACCTCCGTTGCCTTAGAAGCAGTGGTGGAATTCGAATTTTTTTACTACCGGTTCTGTGGGCGTGGCTTGGTCGGCGTGGCAGGGGAAGGATACTACAAAATCCCCATTCCCTCCCCACCAGCCAGAGGTGGTTTTTGCCAGTTCTCTGAACTGCTCAAAAGTTTTGCTACCAGTTCTCCGAACTGCTCAAAATTTCCGCTACCGGTTCGTCAGAACCTGTCAGAACCTGCTGGATTTCACCCCTGCTTAGAAGGTAAGCAGCTGAGCTTCAAATTGCTGTATTTTGAACGTTGCGCGCACCGGTTGTTAAATGTGGCAAGAAAAGTCGTAAAATAAAGAGCCTTGATAGTACAGTGGTTTAGTGCACCCTGTTACTAACACAGCTGCCTGCAATTTCTGCTGGTTCGAATCTCTCCAAGGCTCAAGGTTGACTCAGCCTTCCATCCTTTCTAAGGTAGGTGAAATGAGGACCCAGATTGTGGGGGCAATAAGCTGACTTTGTATAAATATACAAAAGAATGAAGGCTATTGCTTAACGCACTGTAAGTCGCCCTGAGTCTCCGGAGAAGGGCGGCATATAAATCAAATTTAAAAAAAAAAAAATGGGGCAAAACTCACTTAACAGATTTTTCACTTAACAACATAAATTTTGGGCTCAATTTAAGTCGAGGACTACTTGTAACTTAGACAATTTTTAAACATTTTTGTTTGTTTTCTGCAGCATGCCAATTGTTGGGCAAGATGGATTCCCATCCGGTGGCCATGTAATTCAGCGTCCCTGTGGCAGCTGGAATTAAACCCCGTTCTAACCCGGATTGTGCCCGGGGCAAGCACGATGCAGGAACAAGCGCCCCACTTTAAGTCTACCGCTCTGCGGCCCGGCATAAAACTTACAGGTCTGAGTTTGCCGTAGGAAGTGCTTTCAGGAAGGGGTCGGGGTGGCTGGGAAAATCCAGGAGAAGTTGACGTGAAGTTGTTTTCTGAAACTGCAACAAAAGGACAAAAAAAAAAAAAACCCCTCAAAACCCACAATGACAATGCTTCAACGACAAAATTTCGCAACCCCCCCGCGGCTGTAAGATGTGTGGCCTACAAGGCATTGCCGGCTGGGGAATTCTGGGAGTTGAAGTCCAGACATTTTCAAAATGGAGAGAGTGAGTCTAAGGATGCACCTGTTGTGGTCTGTCGGCCACCGGCCTCTCCAGCAGCCGAATCGGAGGAGGAGGAGGAGGAGGCGTGGGAGTCAGGACCGGCGTTAAGGCTGTTGTGGCTCCGTTACCTGAGCCTGTGTCATCGGCAGGAGAGGACTCCGAGAGTGAAGGAGAGGAGTTGGCAAGGCCTCCTTCTCCAGGACCCTCCTCTCTGGCAATGCCTTCGGTGTCCGCCGAAGGGCAAGAGATAGGGCCAGGGCCAAGCACGTCCACGCAGCCACAGATGGACAGTGATGAGGGTAATGAGTCTTGGCTGGATCCACGCCAGCGTTGCAGAGATAAGCGCGCACAACAGAAGAAAAGGCGTGCCCGAGATTAGGCTGAGTCACTGGACCACACCCCACAGGGTATAAAAGGGAGCGTGGTGGCCAGTCAAACCTTGTGACGAACAAAGCTGAAAGCTTCCACGCCATTCTGCATTGCCGGACTTTTGGCTATAGACTTTGCTGGATTATCTCTGGACTTGATTAACTCCGTAATTATTGAGCTGTTTCTTTTGATGTATCAGAAGTGGGGAGAAGTTATCTCTCCTCTTCATAAATAATAAACTCTTGGCAGGCAGCCACTAGGTTGTTGCCAAGTTCCATGATCATAAGGAAAAGGATTTTGCCGCTGGTTTGGTCTTTAACTCTTGAACGTCTGTTGGTGTGTGTGCGTGTGGTTGGGGACAGAATCAAGGCAACCTGAGAGCTCCGAGGGGGAAGAGGGAATGGAGCTGTCAGCGAGAGAGAGACAGAGGCGGAGCCTGGGCTGTCCGTCAACCCTCAGATGGAGAGTCAACAGCCCCCAAAACTGGAGGTGGCTGATGAGGAGGAGGAGGAACAGCTGGGTCCAGTGCCTGACGCGTAGATGCACAGAAGGCAGAGGAGAGGAGAGCAGTGGAAATCTATGGGCTGGTCCTCGGGACGGAAGAGCTACTGCTGCTAATGAAGCCCCACCCTAGCTCTGGGGCTAAAAGGCAGGGGGCGGAGATGAATAGGTGTGGCAGAATTATTTATCTCCCTGCCGGACGGAGATGGGGTGAGAGAGAAACTTTTTGCCGGGGCTGCCGGCGCTCCTAATTAAAGGAATCTTTGAGTTCACTTCAGAAAGTTTGTCGTGTTTGGGGAGCTGGGTCAGAACAGCCCCCTTTAGAAGAGGAGTGGGGAACGATGGGCCTTTAATGACCGGTGGACTCCAACTCTCAGAATCCCTGAGTCAGCCATGCTCAGAATTCCATGCTGGCTCAGGGATTCTGGGAGTTGAAGTCCACCAGTCACGAAAGGCCCATCGTCCCCCCATGTGGGATTCAGGGTACCCAAAGGAAAGCGTGAGCCTCACTTACCGTTTGCCGAGGGAGACCGTGGGAAGCCCTGGGCTCCTCTTTTGTCGGGGCTGGGGAAAGGGCTGACGGGGGGCTGGTCGTAGAGGGGTAACGGCGCCAGGGAGTTTTGGGACTTTGCAGACGGAAAGACCTGTGGGGAAACGAGAGAAGACGGCGTTAACGGAGGACGTTCTTCCCAGCCACGGAAGGAGCCGCGGATCCTCCGGGAGAAAATCAGTCCCTGGGAATCAACCGTGATCGGATGGCACATAATATCGATCGATCGAGCAACGCAAGGAAGGAAACCTGGCTGGCGCCAATCTACCTGAACCTCAGCGATACAGGCGACCTCTCCGTTTTCGGAAGCGGTCAGTTCTTCGACCAGGACGGAAGGGAAAACCCCGACGTGGCCATTGAACTCTCCTTCCCAGAATCCGTCGTCGTCCTGGTTTTCTTTGTTCAGGATGCGGATGATGGCACCTTCGGGAAAGGAGAGCTCGTCGTCCGTCTGACCCTCGTAGTCGTAAAGTGCTTTTACAAAACAGACTGGAAGGGAAAGCGGAGACGGAGAAGCTGTTAGGAGGTTGGGAAACCCACCTGGGAGGCACGTCTCGGGACCCCGAGCGCTCATCGTCTTTTAACGGCCCCGTAATCCCTTGCCGGGTGGAGTCTGCGCAACGGAATGGAGCTAGCAGAGTTGTTTTACTGGCCGGATGCCTTTCCTGTTGCCAGTACGGAGTTTTGTTCAGCAGATATATTCTCATAGTGCCCAGAGAGAGAGAAATATCTACCTAGGATCGAACTCACAGCCTCCTGATTGTGAGGCCAGAGCTCGACCTCTAGGCCACCGCTCCACTCCCATCCTGAGCACTGATCTTTATTTATTTACCAGCCCGGATTTTTATCCAGGGTTTATTATTTTATAAGTAACTCAAGGTGGAGAACATAAAGAATAATTCTTCCTCCTCCTATTTTCCCCACAACCATCACCCTGCGACGTGGGCTGGGCTTACAGAGTCACCCTGCCAGCTTTCATGCCTAAGGTGGGACTAGAACTCACTGCCTCCTGGTTATTGGCCCAAAGTCACGCAGGTGGCTTTCATGCCTGAGGCAGAACTAGAACTCCCAATCTCCTGGTGATTGGCTCCAAGTTGTCCAGCCAGCTTTCACTGCAACGTTTCTCACTGGAGCTGAAGCTTGGTTGCAATCAGCACTAAAAAACGCAACCCACATGTGGCTGAGAGCGTGCCGATTTATGTCTGGGGCGTGCAGGAATAGCAGGGTGTCTCTCAAACCTCCCCCCCCAAGATTCAGCCCCCTTGGTCCTTACCAGTGGTGAAATCCAAAATTTTTTTACTACTAGTTCTGTGGGTGTGGCTTGGTGGGCATGGCAGGGGAAGGATACTGCAATGTCTCCATTCCCTCCCCACTCCAGGGGAAGGATACTGCAAAATCCCCATTCCCACCCCACTCCAGGGGAAGGATACTGCAAAATCCACATTCCTTCCCCACTCCAGGGGAAGGATACTGCAAAATCTACATTCCCACTCCACTCCTTGGGGAAGGATACTGCAAAATCTCCATTCCCTCCCCACTCCAGGGGAAGGATACTGCAAAATCCCCATTCCCTCCCCACTCCGGGGAAGGATACTGCAAAATCCCCATTCCCTCCCCATTCCAGGGGAAGGATACTGCAAAATCTCCACTCCCTCCCCATTCCAGGGAAAGGATACTGCAAAATCTCCATTTCCACCCCATTCTGGGACCAGCCAGAGGTGGTATTTGCTGGTTCTCCGAACTACTCAAAATTTCCGCTACCCGTTCTCCAGAACCTGTCAGAACCTGCTGGATGTCACCGCCGGTCCTTACCACTGGAGTCTCCATTAAGGCTTCCCGAAGCGAGCTCGGCTTCGGTAGAATTGCTGGACGTGTGAGACCGGCTGTCTAACGCTGCCAGGGACTGCAACATGCTCAGGAGGCTGTTGGAGGTCGGGAACTGCAAATATTTCTCCGGCACGTAACCCACGTGGCCTGACTTATTCCGGGCCTGCAAAAGCGGGGAAGACGAACACGCTCGGCGTTAAGAGGGTCACGTCAAAGGTAGTGGAGAAACAAAGAAGACGATCGGCGGCACGTTATGCCATGCCGCAAAAACAGAAAAAGCGAAATGATACCTTTACCCAGTCTTCCATATCGCCATCTTCGATCACTTCCAAAACCTCGTGTTCCTCAATGGTTAATTCGTCCGGCTGCGAGGCCTGCGGCGAAGAAGAAGAAGAGGCGCGTAAAAAGGAGGGGAAGGAAGGGGCCACGAAAAGGACCAGGAGTCTCCAAAGTTGGGCCACTCGTGAAGACTTGTGGACTTCCAACTCCCAGAATTCCTCAGCCAGCCTCAAAAGTTGTCAACCTTTGGAGATTCTTGGGGTTAGGGAATCCATAACTCGTTTGAGCGCTGGGAGAAGCCAAGCTGAGGCTGGATCAGGGCCAAAGATCCCCCAGTTCTGGGTCCCACCAGAAGCTATCAAGAAGGCCTTCAAATATGGCCGCCCCTTTCTTTCAAGCAGCCAGGTTGATCCTCCATGATTGATCCATTCCATCTTTTAAACTTGATTAAAATTGGTGCCTGACTATCGGATGTATGCACAAAAGGATTTGTATAGGTAGTGTTTAACTTTATCTATCTATCTGTCTGCCTGTCTGTCTGTCTATCTATCCTATCTCTCTCTCTCCATCCATTCATCCACCCACCCATCCATCCATCCATCGGTATCTATTTATCTTTCTATCCCTCTATCTATCTATCTATCTATCTATCCATCCATCCATCCATCCATCCATCTATCCATCCATCCATCCACCCATTTATCTCATCTCTCTCTATCCATCTCTCTCTCTCTCTCTGTCTGTCCATCCATCCATCTCATCTCTCTATCTTTCTATCCATCTACCTATCTCATCTGTCTCTCTCACTCTATCTTTTTATCTACCTACCTACCTACCTACCTACCTACCTACCTAATCCATCATCTATCTCCATTCATCCATTTACCTCATCTGTCTCTCTCTTCCTTTCTACCTCTACCTCTCTTTTTAATCCATCATCCATCATCTCTCTCTTATCTGTCTCTCTCATCTAACAGTCATCTATCTATCTATCTATCTATCTATCTATCTATCTATCTATCTATCTATCTATCTATCTATCTATCTATCTATCTATCCATTCATCCATCCACCCATTTATCTCATCTCTCTCTCTATCCATCTCTCTCTCTCTCTGTCTGTCCATCCATCCATCTCATCTCTCTATCTTTCTATCCATCTACCTATCTCATCTGTCTCTCTCACTCTCTCTATCTTTTTATCTACCTACCTACCTACCTAATCCATCATCTATCTCCATCCATCCATTTACCTCATCTGTCTCTCTCTTCCTTTCTACCTCTACCTCTCTTTCTAATCCATCATCCATCATCTCTCTCTTATCTGTCTCTCTCATCTAACAGTCATCTATCTATCTATCTATCTATCTATCTATCTATCTATCTATCTATCTATCTATCTATCTATCTATCTATCTATCTATCTATCTATCTATCTATCTATCTATCCATCCAATTTGTATGCCCCTTCATTCCAAACAAGTGACTCTGGGTGATTGAGGGAATGATATGAAAGAAATTAGATGATTACAACAATGAGGATGCAACTGCCCCCCCCCCGAAAAAAAAAGGAAGAAAAGAAAAAGAGGAAGGGCGAAGTGGCTGGAGGGAGGGTGAGAAAGACTAAAAATGTTGCGGTCAGATGGAGTTGATGTGTTCCTTGAAGTAAAAAAAAACAAAAAGAGAGAAGTTTGTGGCTTGCAAAGGCAACGGGACCACGTGGCAAAAAGCGAGGAGGGTTTTCGAGGAAAGGAAGACAAGGAGGAAGAAGAAGAAGAAGAAGAAGAAAAAGCTGACATGATCCTGGGGTCACGGGAGGCGATGAACGAGGATCGAATTGCAAAACCAACAGGAAAAAGTGAATGGGTTTTGAGTGGGGGGAAGAGAGAGAGAAAATTGGGGAGTTAATGACTTGTAGAATTGATGAGATCCTCGAAAGTGATGAGGTGAGAGGTTTAAAGGGCAAAGAGGAAGCTGTCAAGCGAGGGAGAAACGTGGGAAGAGATATAGTGAAAGGAGGGAGGTCTTGGTCCTACGTTCCCTTTTCATTTTTTTCTTCTCCCCGCAGCATTGATTTCTTTTCTTTACAACGTCCTTCCTCTTTTTCTGCACCCAGCTTAACGTGGCTAAACTCTCCCCATAGCTCCCCCCAAAAAGTAGAAGGACGATAGAGAGGACTCAACGACCCTCTAAAAAGGATGCAAATGACCAGCTGTCTGCAAGGAGCATCAATCCTTCCATCCTTCCCCATTCAGTCAGAGTTGAAGAAGCTTCTCGGAGGAGAAGCGAAACGTCTTCAGAGAAAAATAAAGAAGTACAATTGCCTCTTGGGGAAAAAAAAAAAAGCAGCACTTTTGGGGCCGATTTTATATGAAAATCTGTCCCTTGTCGAAATACGGAAGACACCTACCTTGTACGAATAAACGACTTTGCAGGTCAGCGGGTAATTTCGGAGGGTGCCCGAAGGACTGGAGTTGCTGTCTTCAAAAGCATCCATGCCATCTTCCCCTTCTTCCCTCTCCAGGTCAACGTTTAGCTAACGGAGGAAAAACAGGAAGAGGTTATAAGCGTCCGTTACTAAATACAAAGAGTCCTCGAATTACGGCTAAACCTTGAGGAACTGTTTAAAGTTAACATCTCCACCCCAGACCACCCCGACGATGCCCTTGATGTGATGTCTCGCTGCCTGGAGGCCGTGCGGGGAGAAATAGGCTCAGACTCAACCCCTCCAAGACCGAGTGGCTGTGGTTCCTGGCGTCGCGGTATAGTCAGGTGGTGCCATCGCTGACTATTGGGGGTGAATCTTTGCCCCCCCACGGAGAGGGCTCGCAATCTGGGCGTCCTCCTGGACTCACGGCTGTCTTTAGAAGAGCATTTGACGGCCGTGGCCAGGGGGGCTTTTTATCAGGTTCGCCTGATCCGCCAGTTGCGTCCCTTTCTGGATCGCGACGCCTTGCGCACGGTCACTCACGCCCTTGTCACCTCCCGACTGGACTACTGTAATGCTTTCTACATGGGGCTCCCCTTGAAAAGCACCCGGAGGCTCCAACTGGTCCAGAATGCGGCCGCGCGGGTGGTTATGGGCGCAACCCGTTGTGCCCGCGTGACACCCCTCCTGCGCGAGCTGAACTGGCTCCCAGTGGTCTTCCGGGTGCAATTCAAGGTGTTGGTCACCACCTTTAAAGCGCTCCATGGCGTAGGACCCGGGTACCTTCGAGACCGTCTTCTGCCACCAGTAGCCTCCCACCGGACAGCCCGCTCCCACAGAGAGGGGCTCCTCCGGGTGCCGTCGGCCAAGTTATGTCGGCTGGCGACACCCAGGGGAGGGCCTTCTCTGTGGGAGCCCCAGCCCTGTGGAATGAACTGCCCCCGGAAATGCGTAAGATCTCCAATCTCCGGGTGTTTCGCTGCGCACTGAAGACCCTGTTGTTCCGCCAGGCCGGGCTATCAATAAATAATTTTAAATTGGGGTATTTTAAATTTTTGGGTTTTAAAACCGGCCAAATCTATTTAATTATTTTAATTTTTAATCATTGTTGTGTCTTGTGTTTTTAAATTGACTGTACACCGCCCTGAGTCCTTCGGGAGAAGGGCGGTATAGTAATAAAATTAATAATAATAATAATAATAAAAATAATATTAAAAAAAAAATAATATAATACAAATGGTTGTCCAGTCTCCTCTTAAAAACTTCCACTGTTAAGAGCCCCCACAACTTCCAGAGGCAAGCCATTCAGAAAAACTGGGTTGGAAGGCACCTTAGAGGTCTTCTAGTCCAGCCCCCTGCGGTGATTCACTTAAGAACTATGACAAAACGGTTATAAAACTGGGGGGTGGGGGGGCAACTCAGTTAACAACCATCTTGCTTAGCAACAGTGATCGTGGTCCCAACTGTGGCCGTTAAGTCAAGGACTACCTGTCAGAAGGTCGCAAAAGGGGATGGCGTGAACCCAGGACACTGCGACCGTCGTAAGTACAAGTACAAGAGAAGGGCGGCATATAAATTAAATTTTTTTAAAAAAAAGTCACTTGCCAAGCGGCTAAATTTTGATCGTGTGAACCTGGGGATGCTGCAATGGTCGTAAGTGTGGGAAATGGTCCTACATCACTTTTTTTTCAGTGCCATTGTAACTTCAAACCGTCACTGAGTGAACTGTTGTAAGTGGAGGACCGCCTGTATTTCATAGAAAAGCAGGGAATAGTGTGTTTTATCTGTCTTATTATCTGTTGTCTTGTTTTATAATAATATGCAGTTCTTACCCATTAATTAAGACGCCTGTCAACGTTTAATCAAATGTACTAAATTTCAGTGTTCAGGCGACGCCTGCAGGTTATAAATAAAAATCATTGGCTTGACGTTCAAATTTTGCACACGTCTTTTTTTTAAGGCACGCTATAATAAATATTGGCCCAGAGGCATAAAAGTGAGAGATTTCCGGGCAAAGCCACCATACATGGAAGTAGGTGCCTTGTACTTGATTGCATTTCCAGCAATTAGGTTTTAAGTTGGAGTACATTTTTGCGAGTCTTGTTGGGGCTGCCCAGAAGTTAAAAAATTCTGGATTAAAATACAAAAATGGCTAAAAGAAATTACACACTATAAAACAGAATTTAAACCTGAACCGTTTCTTCTGGGGATTATTAAAGAAAATTATCCTAGAAGGATAAAATATTTAATTATTCATAGATAACTACAGCAGCTAGAATCGTACTTGCGCAGCTTGAAAAATGTCCCACTATTTCCAACAGACTGTGGAAATAATCCGGAAAATTTTCGAATGTGCAGAAATGGACAAACTTACTGTAGAATTAAATAATAAGGAACACTCGGGATATTACTTAACTTGGGATAATTGGTATCAATGGATAGAAATTAAAAATAAGGAATGTATAGAACAAAATAAGATATAAAATGTGATTAAATATGTTGATTAAGTAGGAATATGTGGAATAGATGAAGAAAGTTAAGAATTAAGTACTGTCAAGAAAGACGTTGAATTGTATAATTATTACGGATGTATTTTTGTTATAGAGGTATTTTAACTTGTATTTTGGGATTTTACAGTAAGTGTTAATAAAGGTTTTTCAAAAATTAAAAAAAAGAGAGATATTTCCACTTTGTTTTTATTCTTTCTTAATTAAAACAAAAAAAAAAAAAAAAAGAAGAAAGAGTGGAACCATTTCCATGGGCCTTAGGCATGGCGCCCATTGTCCCCCCATGGACCAGCCTTGTATCCATGGAGAATGAATTTTGGCACAAGCGCCAGAGCGTTCGCCTTCTTCCTGAAAACCCTGGTGCCGCGAGCTTTGCCAAAAGGCATCACTTGAGCATGCCAAGTCCTGGCAAGGAAGGCACAACCGGCAGCTGCCCCTTTCTTTCACCATTTCAATCCATCCTTGTTCTCCTTTCGAAAAAAGGGAAGGTAACCCCTATTCCACGCTACGATCTTTCAAGGGGCTTTGAAGGGAAAGGTGGAGGAAGGGGCTCGCTCCGACGGGCTGCTTCTGAAGAAGCCCCTCGCTCTGCATACGGGCTGTGTGGGTCTACGTTACATGCTCTGTACGTCGACTCCCGGAAGGCCACTTCCGTTCGGAAAAGAGCTCCCCGAGGCGGATGCCGAAATGCAAGAATGGACTTTCTGGGGGTGGGGGTGGGGTGGGGAGGGGGCGGCAATTCTGCACAATCACATCTTCAGAAGACCCCCGCTCGTCTATGATGCTTATCAGTTTGTCTGTCCATCCATTTCTATATCGTCTCTCTCTCCTTTCTCTCTCTGATCCATCCATCCATCTCACCTGTCTTTCTCTCTTTGATCGATCTATCTATCTATCTATCTATCTATCTATCTATCTATCTATCTATCTCTCTCTCTCTCTCTCTCTCTCTCTCCTCTCTCTCTCTCTCTCTCTCATATCTATCTATCTATCATCTCTATCTAATCTATCTATCTATCTATCTATCTATCTATCTATCTATCTATCTATCTATCTATCTATCATCTCTATCTATCTATCTATCATCTCTATCTATCTATCTATCTATCATCTCTATATCTATCTATCTATCTATCTATCTCTATCTATCTCTATCTATCTATCATCTCTCTCTCTAGCTATCATCTCTATATCTATCTATCTATCTATCTATCTTTCATCTCTCTATCTCTCTATCTCTCTATCTCTCTATCTATCTATCTATCATCTCTATTTCTATCTATCTATCTATCTATCTATCTATCTATCTATCTATCTATCTATCTATCTATCTATCTATCATCTCTATCTCTCCATCCATGCATCCATCCACCTCCCTCCCTCCTATCATCTATCTAATCCATCTCTCCATCCATCCATCCATCCAGTAGCCAGCCATTTCTCTACCATCTCTCTCTCTATTCTACCTATCCATTTTTCTCTCTGATCTTCCTTCCTTTCCTTCCTTCCCTCCCTCCCTCTTCCTTCCCTTCCTCTCTCTCTCTCTCTCTCTCTCTCGTCTGTCTGTCAATCAATCAATCAAAACTGCCAATTTCCATCACAGGCTGAAGTCAAGGCAAACATGCATGAATAGGAAGATGTTAGCAGGCTCATTCGTGGGCTTATGAAATTCTAATGAATGCAGACTTTGAAACATTTAGCATTGGGGCTTGGCTTGACTTTTTCATTTAATGGCACCCGAGTCGCCTGCCTGCCTGCGTTTGAGTTGCAAAACCAGACTGAGCGACCGATCGCTCAGGGATCTTAAAGACAGGCAAGCCTTAATTCACGTGAATGATCTCTCGGGTTTTTAAAGGAGCTTTGCTCTCCGATGCGCAGATCTCCCCCGGCGTGATTGAGTTGCTAAGAACAAGCACAAAGTGTGCCTTGTGAGCCAGGATCCCTTACAGCGTTGGCTCAAAGGGATCTTCCAATCTAGCAGATCGCGGGTTGATTCATGAAGAGCAGGGATTGAGTGCAACCTGAAACCCTCAAAGAGCCACTTGGGCCCATTTCCCACCGAAAAGAAAACACCGGGAGTCACAACAGCTGGGTGGGCGTGGCCAACTCGACGTCACTCACTCCCAGCCAGTCACATGACCCACCCACCCCAGTCACGCCTACCCAGGTTTTGTGGCTCCCGGTGTTTTCTTTTCTATGGGAAATAGGCATCTCCCCCTCTCTCTCTCCCTCCCATCTCTCTTTCTCTTTTTCTCTATCCCCCTCTCTATTTCTCTTTCTCCCTCTCATCTCTTTTTCTCTATCCTCCTCTCCCTGCCTCCCTCCCTCTCATCGTTCTTTCTCTCATCTTTCTTTTTCTCTCTATCTCCCTCTCTCTCGTTTCTTTCTCCCTCTCACCTCTCTTTCTCTTTTTCTCTATCTCCCTCTCCCTCCCTCTCTCATCTTTCTTTCTCTCATCTCTTTTCGTTTTTCTATCTCCCTCTCTCTCTCATTTCTCTTTCTCCCTCTCATCTCTTTTTCTCTATCTCCCTCTCCCTGCCTCCCTCCCTCTCATCTTTCTTTCTCTCATCTGTCTTTTTCTTTTCTAGTTTCTAGGCTTTTTTTCAGGCAGCCAGCAAGCACTCTGCTGCCCATTGGGAGACTAAGATAGATCTAGTGCTTGCTGGCTGCCTGAAAAAAAGCCTAGGAACTAGTGGATTGGGATTTCACTGAACTAGGGCTGCATAAAAATCTTGGTTTACGTAGGAAGAACCTGGCTAAAGAGAAATACACATAAAGGCTTACGAAAAGAAAACAAAACATATATATATATATATAAATGCTTTCTTCTCTTATTGTAGGTTTGTGTGTGAATTTTTCTTCAACCAGGTATTTTCCTACGTAAACCAAGTTTCTCAAATTGCAGCCATAGGCTCAGTGAAATCACATCCACTATCCTAGGCTTCTTCAGACAGCAAGCCAGCATTTTGCTGCCTATCTGGAGACTAATACAGATCTATTTCGGACTGATCGGTCCTCATCAGTTAGCCACACCCTTACCATGTGTCCCCTCCCCGTAGAGGATAAGTATTTGCTTTCTTCTCTTATCGTAGGTTTTTGTATGTATTTTTCTTAATCTATATTAGTCTCCCAATAGGCAGCAAAATGCTTGCTTGCTGTCTGAAGAAGCCTAGGATAGTGGATGTGATTTCACTGAGCTATGGCTAAAAACTTGGTTTACGTAGGAAAATACCCGGCTGAAGAAAAAATACATACATACATACATATATATATATATATCGAGGAAAGCCAATCTTTTATGGCGAAGGCTGGCAGAAGGCAGGAAGAAAACGGGAAGGGAGGCTTTTATCCCCTCCCATCGCTGCGTCTGCCCAATTCCATTAGAAATTCAGGCCGAGGAGGAACGTTGGGAAGAGTCCAGGTTGACAAAAAAGAAACTGAGGCAGGGAGCCAAAAGGAAAGAGGGGAGGGGAGAGTGAGTGGCACACCCTTGGCACAAAGGGCCCTTAATGGCTGGCTGACTTCCTGGGATCCTCAGCCCAAGAGATGCCACGCTTGGTGTTCAGGCAAACTCTCCGTCCTTCTTCGTCTTCCTCTCCATTCGCAGGCACACCGCCTCCTTCTGCGAGGGAGGAAGCGCCGTTCGCCGTCTATGTCACTATCCGAACCGCGCACTGGGATGTCAGTGGCCGAGGGATTCCCTCCGATGGAATCTCACCGGATCGAAAACGCCACTCCCGTTGGAGTTTCCAATAGAAGAGAATAATCTCTCTGCCTCGGGGTGGGACTGGGGGTGTGTGTGGTGGGGGGGCTTGGTTGCCCTCTGAGCAGTGGTGAAATCTAAATTTCTTTCCTACCGGGTTCTGTGGGCGTGGCTTGGTGGGGGGGTGGTGTCATGTGACTGGGTGGGCGTGGCTATGTAATCATGTGGCTGGGGGATCAAAAGACAGAACTTCGCTAACATGTCCTGCTGGAGCGGGGTTGGACTAGATGACCTCCAGGTTTTTCCAGCCCTGGATTATCCTCTGAAGCTGTGTCTAGTGCCAGATTTGTAGTCCTTGGTTCCTCTCCTCTTTCTTCCTTCCTTCCTTCCTTCCTTCCTTCCTTCCTTCCTTCCTTCTTCCTTTCTTTGTTTCTTTCCTTCCTTCCTTCTTCTTCTTTCTTTCTTCCTTCCTTCTTCCTTTTTCTTTTCTTCCTTCCTTCCTTCCTTCCTTCTTCCTTCCTTCCTTCCTTCCTTCCTTCCTTCTTTCTTTTTCTTTCTTTCTTTCTTTTCTTTCTTTCTCTCTTTCTTTCTTTCTTTCTTTTTCTTTTTCTTTCTTCTTTCTTCCGTCCTCTTTCTTTCTTCTTTCTTCCTTCTTCTTTCTTCCTTCCTCTTTCTTTCTTTCTTTCTTTCTTTCTTTCTTTTTTCTTTCTTTCTTTCTTTCTTTCTTTTCTTTCTTTTTTCTTTCTTTCTTTCTTTTTTCTTTCTTTCTTCTTCCTTCCTTCTTCTTTCTTTCTTCTTTCTTTCTTTCTTCCTTTTTCTTCCTTCCTTCCTTCCTTCCTTCCTTCCTTCCTCCTTCCTTCTTCCTTCCTTCCTTCTTCCTCTCTCTCTCTCTTTCAAAAACAGGACCCCCCCCCGTTTTTTTGCCTACACCCCCCTTTTTTGCCAAGCAGGCTTCAAGCCAAGCCTGCTGGGAGCAAAAGTGGACCCCCCCCATCCCTGTTAAAAAAAGGGCTCCGACGATCGCGCGGCATAGCTGTGATCGTCGGAGCCTTTTTTTTTTTTACTTTTTAAAAGCATTTTTTACTACCTATTCACCCGATACGGTAGTAAAAAAATGCCTAAAAAGTAAAAAAAAAAAAAAAGTTCTGACGATCGCGGGGTCGCTCAGCTGATGGTCGGAACTTTTTAAAAACATTTTTTTACTACCAGTTTGGGCCACCTAGCTAACATCATCAATGCTAGACAGGAAGGGGAGAAGAGGAAAGGAGGAGGAGGAGGAGGAGGAGAAGAGAGCTGTGGGGTCCTTGGTGCTCTCTGAGCTGGGCTGTTTCCTCGCAGACGTTTAATTACCCAGCCAGGTAACAACATCAGTGCCAGAAGAGAGTGCGGTGTGGAGGAGGAGGAGGCCAAATTGCTGAGTGCCCAAAATATAGTCACATGACCACGGGAGGGTGGTGAGAAAGTGGCCATCAAAACCTTGGGTCGTAAGTGCCTTTTTTCGGAGTCAGCTATAACTTCGAAGGGTCACTAAGTGACTGGTCATAAATCAAGGACCATCGTTTCGGCCCAGCCCCCCTTTTTAAAAAAAAAATAATAACGGTTCAAACAACGCCACTGTAGATATACGAGACGGGTTCTGAAAATATTTAATTGTTAAATTAATTATTTAATTTATTAAACCTTAATTATTAAATTTAATTTAATTAAGGTTTAATGTTTAAACCTGGTTGATAAAACCCAAATAGTTTGCTTCTCTTTGCCAGCAGGGAGACGGAGAGCGCGGAGGGGCTGGGGAGAGAGGGCCGGATCTTACCAAGTGCGAAGAGCCGTTGCTGGCCATGGCCGGGAGGTTGGCCCACCGCTCGTTCTCCAGTTCCTCCATCACTTGATTCATTGCACTTTTCAGCCAGGTGTCCACCGAAACGCCGATCTGCTTCAGGAGGTCGAGGCGAGCTTCGGCTTTCAACTTTATGATCTAAGATGACAGAAAGAGAGAGAGAAAAAAATAATAAATAAATAAAAGAGAGAGAGAGAGAGAAGGAGGGGGGGGAGAGAGAGGGAGGGAGGGACAGAGAGAAAGGGAGGGAGGGAAAGAGAGGGAGGGAAAGAGAGGGAGGGAAGGAGAGAGAGAGAAAGAGAGGGAGGGAGGGGGAGAGAAAGAGAGGGAGAGAGAATGGGAGGGAGAGAAAGAGAGGGAGGGGGAGAATGAGAGAGGGAGAGAGAGAAAGATAGGGAGGGAGGGAGAGAGAGGGAGGGAGAGAAAGAGAGGGAGGGAGAGAGAGAGAGAGAAAGAGAGGGGAGGAGAGAGAGAGGGAGGGGAGGGAGAGGGGGGGAGAGAAAAGAGAGGGAGGGGAGAGAGAGAAAGAGAGGGAGGGGGGAGAGAGAAAGAGAGGGAGGGGGGGAGAGGAGGGACAGAGAGAAAGAGAGGGAGAGAGGGAGGGAAAGAGGGAAGGAGAGAGAGAGAAAGAGAGGGAGGGGGAGAGGAGAGGGAGGGACAGAGAGAAAGAGAGGGAGAGAGGGAGGGAAAGAGGGAAGGAGAGAGAGAGAAAGAGAGGGAGGGGGGGGGAGAGGGAGGGGACAGAGAAAGAGAGGAGGGGAGTAGAGAGGGAAGGGGAGAAAGACAGGGAGGGAGAGAAGAGAGGGAGGGAGAGAAAGAGAGGGAGAGAGGGAGGGAAAGAGGGAAGGAGAGGGAGAGAAAGAGAGGGAGGGAGAGACAGAGGGAGGGAAAGAAATAGAGGGAGGGGAGAGAGAGAGAGTTTGATTTTTATCTGCATTTATTCTTGCTTTTAAATAATTCAATGCAGCACACATAACTAATTCTCTTTTTTTTCGCACAACAATCCTGCGAGTGTGGGTAAGGCTGTGAGAGAGGGACTGGTCGTGGCAGGGGAAGGATACTGCAAAATCCCTATTCCCGCCCACTCCTGGGAGAAGAATACTGCAAAATCCCCATTCCCACCCCACTCTGAGAACAGCCAGAGGTGGCATTTGCCGGTTCTCCAGAACTGCTCAAAAATTTCCGCTTACCGGTTCTCCCGAACCGGTCAGAACCTGCTGGATTTCACCCCTGGCTCCCACCCACTCCAAAGATCTTACCGACAACGGTATCAAGAAAAATCAAAGGACAACTATGACTTTTTTTTTGGGACCGAGACTATTTCCGTTCAGGAATCACGTTCAGGCTGAGATGGATTGATATGCAAAAACGGCTCTATAATCTTGCTCGCGTTTTCCGTGGGAAACTTTCCTGCTAAAAGTGAGCCCCCGGAAGCCAGGAAGAAAGATTCCATCGCTTGGCCAGCACATATTTTACGCAGGGACCGAGGGCCGCCCTACTGCAAACTAGATTACTTTTAGATCTAAGGGGAATGCACGGGAGGACCGAGGAGCAGAGGTCAGAGGAAGTCTTCCTGGGAAAGAGCACAGACAATTGACTTTAGCCCCGGAGCCGATTTTTCAAATATTACTTAATCGCTGATACGTGACTTGAGATCTCCCTTGGTGGCCCGTTCCCCACGGGGCACGCTTTTCCACGGAGGGCAGAATAAATAGGATCCTGGCCCACGTAGGAGGGAATCCGTGCCACAACTGGCTCGCAAGTTTAAGAAAACAAAAAGAAAAATCCTGGATAGCTCTGCAGACTAAAAGCACTGTTATTAACATCAGCTGGCTGCAATTACTGCGAGTTCGAATCTCACCAGGCTCAAGGTCGACTCAGCCTTCCATCCTTTCTAAGGTAGGTGAAATGAGGACCCGGTTGTGTGGGGGCAATAAGCTGACTTTGTATAAAATACAAAAGTATGAAGGCTGTTGCTTAACGCATTGTAAGCGCCCTGAGTCTCCGTGAGAAGGGCGGCATATAAATCTAATAAAAAAAAAAAGAAAAGAAAGAGAAAGAAGGAAAGAAAGAAGGAAAGAAAGAAGAAAGAAAGAAAGAAAGAAAGAAAGAAAGAAAGAAAAGAAAGAGAAGAAAGAAAGAAAGAGAAGCTGACTTTGTATAAATATATACAAAAGGATGAAGGCTATTGCTTAACACATTGTAAGCCGCCCTGAGTCTCGGAGAAGGGCGGCATATAAATCAATAAAAACAAACAAAAACAAAAAACTAACAAGTAGATGGAACTGGGTGCAAATACGGACGAGCCGAGCGCCACCCTAAAAGCTGCAGGTTTATCCATCCGCCGGCCTTCCCAATTTGCAAACGCTCTGCAGGAGCTCTGATTACACCTCCCATGATCCCAGCCACCAAGCTATAATAAACGCTGAAGAAATACGGGCCAATTTTTTAGTCCAATAAATCTGGAAGGAGATTTTAAGACTCAGGAGCATTTTTGTTTTTTTTTTAAAGGGACAAAAGCCATTTTGCTTCCGCGTTTGTGCCACCATGTATGAAGAAAAAAAAAAAAAACCTGCATGGGAAGACAGCATTAATAGTAACATGCCATTAAACGGGCCTGGTGGCTCAGCAGACTAATAGCTGTTATTAATATTCAGCTGCCTTGCAATTACTGCAAGTTCGAATCTCGCCAGGTCAAGGTTGACTCAGCCTTCCATCCTTTCTAAGGTAGGTAAAATTGAGGACCCAGTTTGTGGGGGCAATAAGCTGACTTGTGTATAAATAATACAAAAGAATGAAGGCTATTGCTTAACGCACTTGTAAGCCGCCCTGAGTCTCCGGAGAAGGGCGCATATAAATCAAATAAAAATAAAATAAAAAATTAAAGGTAAGCCTTATTTGCTCCTGCCAGTTGGTCCCTCAATTGTGGTTTCAATCATATTGGAATACTAGGTTGCACTGGAAAGTAGCGTGCAAGGGTGAAATGCTACTGGTTTCGAAACCGGTTCGCCTGAACCAGTAGTTAAAAAATGCTACCGGTGAGATGGCCGACAGAGCAGGGGTGGGTTTCTGGGAGGCTCCGCCCACCCGCCCGGATGTCATCACGGACGCTCTGTGCATGGACAGAAGCGCGTGCGAGCGCTCACAGTTTTATTTATTTATTTATTTATTTATTATATTTCTATACCGCCTTTCTCCTGTAGGACTCAAGGCGGTGTACAGTCAGGAAAAAAATATAGATACACAAACATCATAAAATTGCTAATTAAAATTATTATTATAACATAGTTTGGCCCAATTAAATAGAACCTAAAATTAGATCACATTTTAAAAATCATTCACATGTTCGTATGTTTAGCCCCGCCTGTTGGAACATCAGGGTCTGAGGGCACGGCGGAAAGCACGGAGATCAGGGATGTTTCGTATCTCCCGGGGGCAGTTCATTCCAAAGGGTTGGAGCCCCCACAGAGAAGCCCTCCCCCTGGGAGTCGCCAGTCGGCATCATTTGACTGACGGTTACCCTGAGTAGTCCCTCCCTGTGAGAACGAAACTGGTCGGTGGGAGGCTATTGGTGGCAAAAGACGGTCTCGTAGGTACCCAGGTCCTAAGCCATGGAGCGCTTTAAAGGTGATAACTAACACCTTGAATCGCACCGGAAGACCACCGGGAACCAGTGCAGCTCGCGTAGGAGAGGTGTTACATGGGCGCAACGAGCTGCACCATAATCACCCGCGCGGCTACATTCTGGACCAGTTGGAGCCTCCGGGTGCCTTTTCAAGGGGAGCCCCATGTAGAGAGCATTACAGTAGTCCATACGGGAGGTGACTAGGGCATGAGTGACCGTGCGCAAGGCGTCCCGATCCAGAAAGGGACGCAACTGGCGGATCAGGCGAACCTGAAAAAAGGCACACCCCTGGCCACGGCCGTCAAATGATCTTCTAAAGATAACCGTGAATCCAGGAGGACACCCAAGTTGCGAGCCCTCTCTGTGGGGAGCAAGATCTCACCCCCAATAGTCAGCGATGGCACCTGCTGACTATACCGGACGCCGGAAGCCACAGCCACTCGGGTCTTGGAGGGGTTGAGTCTGAGCTTGTTCTCCCCATCCAGATCCGCACGGCCTCCAGGCAACGGGGACATCACAGCAAGGGCATCATTGGGGTGGTCTGGGGTGGAGATGTACAGCTGTGTGTCATCAGCATACTGATGAACACTCACCCCAAAACCACGGATGATCTCACCTAGCGGTTTTACATAAATGTTGAACAGAAGGGGTGAGATAGACTGACCCTTGCGGCACCCCACAAATAAGGGGTGAAGTGAACCAGTAGCAAAGGTAAGTGAAACCAACTACTGCGACAGAGCTGTTAATCTACCTATGAGAACCGTACGGTGGCCTTCCTTGCACTTCTACAATCTCCTTCTGTACATAAAAACTCAAAACACACATATGGCCTGTAAAACATTAACTGGCAGCTATAGATGGCAGCCAAATGTAGCCTTAAATAAGTACAATTTTGTTGGGAGTAGTTGGGGGGGTCAGAGACACTGGCCACAATTATCAAAGAAGAGAATGTTCTTCCAGAAAATGCCCAGAGAGAAAGATGGAGAGAGAGAGAGAAAGAGAGAGAAGGGAGGAAAAAAGAGAAAGAAAGAGAGGGAGACAAGAGAATGAAAGCAAAAGAGAGAGAAAGCGAAAGAAAGAATGAGAAAAAGAAAAAAAAAAGAAGAAGACAACATGAAAGAGAGAAAAAAGAAACAGGGAGAGAAGGGAGAAAGAGAGAGAGAGAAAGAGAGAAGAGAAGAAAAAAAGAAAGAAAAAGGGGGAGACAAGAGAATGACAGCAAAAGAGAGAGAAAGCGAAAGAAAGAAGTGAGAAAAAGAAAAAAAAAGAAGAGAGACAACATGAAAGAGAGAAAAAGAGACAGGGAGAGAAGGGAGAAAGAGAGAAGAGAAGAAAAAAAGAAAGAAAAAGGGGGAGACAAGAGAATGACAGCAAAAGAGAGAAAGAGAGAAAGTGAAAGTGAAAGAGAGAAGTGAGAAAAAGAAAAAAGGGGAGAGAGACAACATGAAAGAGAGAAAAAGAGAGAGGGAGAGAAGGGAGAAAGAGAAAGAAAAGAGAGAGAGAGAAAAAGAGAGGGAGAATGAGAAGACAGAGAAAGAGAGGAGAAAAAGAGAGAAGGGAAAAAGGAGAGAAAGTGAAAAGAGAGAAAGAGAGGAAAAAAGAGAGAAGGGACAAAGGAGAGAAAGAGGGAAAAGGAGAAGAAAGGGAGAGGGAGGGAGGAGGAGGAGGAGAGGAGGGAAAACTGTTGGCTTGTCACAAATGTGATATCTCAGTTCCCTATAAATAGTCTCCCAGGGAACCTTTGGAGATCACACATTTTATCTGAGAAATTGTGTTTTCCACTCCCCAGAGAGCAAGCCAAATTTTATTTCTTTCTGTATTGCTGCTCCTTCTCCCAGAGGGGCAGAAACCTTGACAATAAATCTACCGTTTCTCAACCTTCGTGACTTTTAAGATGGGTAGACTTCAACTCCCAGAATCCTGCCGGCCGGGAAAGTTTGAGAAACGCTGCAATAAATCCTCCCATTAAAGCAAATTGTGCTCGGGAGAAAGGAAATGCAAAAATTAAGAGCATATGTCATTTAAAACAACAACAATCCCCACCAGAAATGTCAAAAGATGGAGGCCAAAGGGGTCCTGTTGTAATCCTGGAATTTTTTTTTCTCTTTTTTTAGGTCCCAAATTTTTTATTTAGTTTATCAAAATATAAAAGTACAAAGCAAAATGGGGAGGAGAAAAAGTGGGGAAAGCAGAGGAAGAAAAAGGGGGAACGTGTAGGGAGTAGCATTGAGGGTCTAACCAACCGATCAAATGCCAGTTCTTACCTCGGCTTTGCGAATATTCTCCCTGGTTTCGTCGATCTTCTGCTCCAGCTCCGCTCGGTTCTGTTCGGTCGCCACCGGCCCGTGGCACTCCAGCTCGTCCAGGGTCTGCCGGAAAAGAGGGAGCAGAAAAATATTTAGCATTTGGGAGAGGAAATCGAGCTGTTGATATTGGAAGAGATTCAGAAATTGATCGTTCGCTTCTTAAGCTGGCATTCCTTTTCTCTGGGAGTTCTAGGAGATGGGTGCCGGTCTCTGGGACTCCCCCACCCCACCCTCGCACAAAAGCAAGAAGCCAGGGAGGGGGGGCTGGGCTGGGAGAGGGGGGGGGCAGGCCTACAAGCTTCCAGGGACCCCCCAATGGCTGGAAGGGGATTGTAACTTGGGACTCCTCAGTCAAGGAAGGAAGGAAGGAAGGAAGGAAGGAAGGAAGGAAGGAAGGAAGGAAGGAAGGAAGGGAGGGAGGGAGGGAGGGAGGGAGGGAGGGAGGGAAGGAGGGGAGGAAAGAAGGGAAGAGAGTGTGGAGAAGAGAGGAAGGAGAAGGGAAGGGAGGGAGGTGAGGGGGAAAGGAAGGAAGGAGAGGGCAGGAGAGGAGGAGAAAAGGGAAGGAAGAAGAAAGGAAGAGTGTGGAGAAGGAAGGAAGGAAGGGAGGGAGGGAGGGGAGGAAAGAAGGGAAGAGAGTGTGGAGAAGAGAGGAAGGGGAGGGGAAGGGAGGTGAGGGGGAAAGGAAGGAAGGAGAGGGCAGGAGAGGAGAAGAAAAGGGATGGAAGAAGAAAGGAAGAGTGTGGAGAAGGAAGGAAGGAAGGAAGGAAGGAAGGAAAGAAGGGAAGAGAGTGTGGAGAAGAGAGGAAGGGGAGGGGAAGGGAGGGGAGGGGGAAAGGAAGGAAGGAAGGAGAGGTGAGGAGAAGAAAAGAAGGGAAGGAAGAAAAAAGGAAGAGTGTGGAGAAGGAAGGAAGGAGAGAGGAGGGAAGGAGGGGAAGGAAGAAGGGAAGAGAGTGTGGAGAAGAGAGGAAGGGGGGAAGGAAGGAAGGAGAGGAGAGGACAGAAGAGGAGAGGAGAAGAAAGGAAGGGAAGGAAGGAAGGAAGAAGAAAGGAAGAGTGTGGAGAAGGAAGGAAAGGAAGGGAGGGAGGAAGGAAAGGACCAAAGTCATCTGAGTTTTCTTGGCTCATCAGGGGTTGAATGTGAATCTCTCCGAGGCAAACACTTTCACCTCCGTGTCATGTTGGCTTCTCCACCCCAATTTCTTCAGCCTGGTGCCTTGCATAGAAGCAGGATTCCAAATCCCAGCATCCCCTGCCTGCACAGACTTACCCGCTGGCTGTGGACGATGTTTTTGTGCTCCCGGGCGACGCGAGTCGCCCACTTTCTGGCTTCCTTGTTCAAGCTGTGCTCTTCGGTCGTCCCCGTCTCAGACTCCAGTTGCCGACTCTGAAATACAGACACGGAAAACAAGAAGAGCGTGAAGGGGTGGATTTCTTGGACCAAATCCCTCTGCTCTTTCCAGAGTCACCTGATTTCTTTTTTGAATTATTATTTTCCGGCCCTCTAAACAAAAGCTTTTCCCAGTTTCTTGCTATCTGCAGTTCCGAATAACAAGACAATGTCAAACACAGGAAAAACCTTGTTTGTTCACGACCTTGAGTGGCTGGAAAAGGAGGAGGGGAACAGAGAGAGAAAGGGGGGGAAATGGAAAACTGAACAATTTGTTCTTTTTTGGGGGAAAACAACAGGGAGGGAGGAAGAGAGAGGGAAAGAGAGAGAGAGAGAGAAAGGGAGAGAGAGAGAGAGAAAGAAAGAAAGAAAGAAAGAAAGAAAGAAAGAAAGAAAGAAAGAAAGAAAGAAGGAGGGAGGGAAATATAGAGAGGGAAGAAGAAAAAGAGAGAGAGAAAGGGAGAGAGAGAGAGAGAGAAAGAAAGAAGGAAAGAAAGGAAGGAGAAAGGAAGGAAGGAAGGAAGGAAGAAGGAGGGAGGGAAATACAGGGAGGGAGGAAGAAAAAGAGAGAGAGAAAGGGAGAGAGAGAGAAAGAAAGAAAGAAGGAAAGAAAAAGAGAAAGGAAGGAAGGAAGGAAGAAAGAAGGAGGGAGGGAAATACAGGGAGGGAGGAAGAGAGGGAAAGAGAGAGAGAGAGAGAAAGGGAGAGAGAGAGAGAAAGAAAGAAAGAGAAAGGAAGGAAGGAAGGAAGGAAGGAAGAGGGAAGGAGAGAAATACAAGGAAGGAGGAAGAAAAAGAGAGAGAGATAAAGTAAAAAGAAAGAAAGAGAGAGAGAGAGAGAGAAAGAAAGAAAGAAAGAAAGAAAGAAAGAAAGAAAGAAAGAAAGAAAGAAAGAAAGAAAGGGCAGGGAGAGAGAAAGAAAAGGGCAGGGAGGGAGAAACAGGCGAGGAGGGGAGGAGAGGAAGGAAGGAAAGGTCACGGGAGGGATGGAGGGAGAAAGGAAAAGAAAGAATGAAAATGAGAAAGAAAGAAGAAAGAGAGAGACACAGGAAAGAAGGAAAGAAGGAAGGAAGGAAAGAGGGAGGAAGGGAGATAGAGAGGGAGAAAGAAAGAAAGAAGTGAGAGAGAAAAAGAGAAAGAGAGAAAAAAGAGAGAGAGAAAAGAAAGAAAAAGAAAGGGAGGGAGGGAAGGAAGGAAGGACAGATGAAGGAAGAGAGAGAGAGAGAGAAAAGAAAGAGGGAGGAAAGAAGAGAAGAGAAGAGAAGAGAAGAGAAGAGAAGAGAAGAGAAGAGAAGAGAAGAGAAGAGGGAAGGGCCTGCACGATTAAAGATGGCTTACTTTTCAATCCAACTGAGAGTTCTGTGACACATTACCGAGTCATTTTAGAAGCCGCAGAAGGGATCCCTTCTTGCCACAGGCGAAAAAGATAATCTGGGCAGCATTAACGCTCAGAGATCCAATCTATGCCTTCCGCAGGGCGTGTGCCCCAAAGTCCCCGTTTTACAACCCACAACAGATCGGGTGAACGCCCGAAACAACCCAAAAGGTTTTTTTTTTTGCGGAAATCCTGACATACTTACCAACCCGGTCCATGCATTTATACCCCAAAGAAAAAGTGTGTGTGGGGGGGTTTAGACCCCCCCTCCCGTCCCATCCCCCCACACTCCCACCCCGTCAAGCACATGCGATGGGAGTCTCGGTGTTCAGCTCAGGTCAGACAGCCTGGTTTCTCACATCACGAACTTGGCGGCCATCGAGAAAGGGCCGCGTGATGCGACAGCCACATCTTTGGCACATACGAGCCGACCGAAAGGGGAGCTCTCGAAAGAGACGAGGGAGGGAGGAAGGGAGAGGGAGAGCAGCATTCCAACCCCAAATTCCTGAATATTTCCCAAATAATAATAATAATAATTGTGGAACAACCAAGTGCAGAAAGAAAGCCACACAACAGCAGCAGCGGGTGCCGGGAAATTCAGACAGCGAGTTTTCGCAGGACAAAGGAAGTAGAAAGTCAAACCTCCTGTCTTAATAATTGTTGGCTTCTGTCTTCTTTGTGCCAACAAACTATCTTGCACAGGCAGGTATGAAATATGTCCTAAAACAAAAGAGGAACGTCTCACACCTAAACCCGCTCTCGGGAAGGGTCGAATTCTTCACGGGAAGAGCAGCAGGAGTCTCCAACTGTGGCCCCTTTAAGAGCTGTGGACTTCCCCCCCAAAAGGGGGAATTCTGGGAGTTGAAGTTCCGCAGCTCTTAAAAGTGGCCAACGTTGGGCGCCATATTGCTTTAAAGCATCTACTAGGTAGTCCTCGACTTACAACCACAAAGGAGCCGGAAACATTTCATATTGTTAAGCGAGATATTTGCTCAGCGAGTTTTTGTCCCGTTTGACGACCATTCCTGCCACCGTTGTTAAGCGAATCGGTGCAGTTGATAAGTTAGCCGCCCGGCGGTTAAGAGGAACCTGGCTTGCCCACTGCTGGTCGGAAGGTTGCAAAAGGGGATGGCGTGACCAGGGCCACGGCAATTGTCGTATTTATGAGTCAGCTGGCAAGCGTCCGAATTTTGATCATGTGACCACGGAGATGATACAACGGTTGTTAAGTATGAAAAACGATCACAAATCCCTTTTTTTCCCAGTGCTGTTGTAACTTTGAACGGTCGCTATAAACAAACGGTTGTAAGTCAAGGACTACCTCTACCAAATTGGCAAAGGTGCGGCTGTTTCCAAAAGCCGACAAAATTTCTGGGGGAACCCATCGTATTAATAAACTGGCGAATCGCAGGAATTCCCTGTAGGCAGAAACCCGTAGCTGCGTCTAAATCCAATTTGCTTCAGTGAATTATAAGAGCATGGCATTTCTACTTGTGGATGAAGCAACCCACATTTTAAAAGGAAAATATCTTTATTTTTTAAAAATCATCTGCATGGGCTAACTTCTTGACCTGGATGAGATGGCTTGATTTAACAGAATAAGAGAGTTGGAAGGGACCTTGGAGGTCTTCTAGTCCAACCCCCTCTCGAGTAGGAGACCCTATCCAATCTCTTCTTAAAAACCTCCAGTGTTGAAGCACCCACATCTTCGGGTGGCAAGTTGTTCCATTGACTGATTTTTCTCTCTGTTAGGAATTTTTTTCCTTAACTCTAGTTTGCTTCTCTCTCTCTCTCTCTCCCCGATTAACCCTTCCTTCCGCTCAACAACCACACACTGTCTAAAATTGCGAGATTCGGAAGTGCAAACCGCTTTTCAAACGTTTTGTCTTTTGGCTCAGCTAGTCTTTGGAACTACCATTCCACTGTTGTGCAACAGAAAGTTGCGTCAGCAACATTTCCGAGAGAGGAGAACACTGAACAGATAAGGGAGAGACTGAAATACCCGTGCTAACTATAAATTACATTTTTCCACCGCAAGACTTCCAGCTTGACTTTACACTGTGAACACTGCGGGGTATAAAATAGAATAGAATAGAATAGAATAGAATAGAATAGAATAGAATAGAATGGAATGGAATGGAATGGAATGGAATGGAATGGAATGGAATGGAATAGAATAGAATAGAATAGAATAGAATAGAATAGAATAGAAGTAAAGTAAAGTAAAGTAAAGTAAAGTAATATATATATATATAAAAAAGTAAAGTGCAGTGAAGTAAAATAAAATACAATATATAAAAAAGTGAAGTGAAGTGAAGTAAAAAAAATATATTAAAAAAGTAAAGTGAAGTGAAGTGGTGAAATAAAGTAAAGTAAAGTAAAATTAAATTAAAAAATATATAAAAAAAGTAAAGTGAAGTGAAGTGAAGTAAAATAAAATATATAAAAAAAGTAAAGTGAAGTGAAGTGAAGTAAAATAAAATAAAATATATAAAAAAAGCAAAGTGAAGTGAAGTAAAATAAAATATATAAAAAAAAGTGAAGTGAAGTAAAATAAAATAAAATATATAAAAAAAGTAAAGTGAAGTGAAGTGAAGTGAAGTGAAGTGAAGTGAAATAAAATAAAATAAAATAAAATAAAATAAAATAAAATAAAATAAAATAAAATAAAATATATAAATGAATGAGCTTTGGTGGCACAGCGGACTAAAGTGCTGTTATGTAGCACTTAGCTGCCAGCTGCTTGCAATTACTGCGAGTTCAAATCTCACCAGGCTCAAGGTTGACTCAGCCTTCCATCCTTCCGAGGGAGGTAAAATGAGGACCCGGATTGTGGGGGCAATAAGCTGACTTGTATAAAAAAGAACACCGCTTAGGGGGGGCCGAAAGCCCTAATAATTAAGCAGGTATATAGAAAAAGTATGAAGGCTATTGCTTAATGCATTGTAAGCCGTCCTGAGTCTCTGGAGAAGGGCGGCATATAAATCGAAATAATAATAATAATGATAATGATAATGATAATAATAATAATAATAATAATAATAATAATAATAATAATAATAGGACACCTTAACAGTTAACTTAGGTCCTTGGTTAGGACTCGAGCTGCTGAGCTATTAACCAGCCTCAAAGGCTGTGAATCTCACCAAAGATTAACCAATAATAATAATAATAATAATAATAATAATAATAATAATAATAATAATAATAATAATAAAAAGTAAAGTGAAGTGAAGTGAAGTGAAGTGGTGAAATAAAGTAAAGTAAAATAAAATAAAATATATAAAAAAGTAAAGTAAAGTAAAGTAAAGTAAAGTAAAGTATATAAAAAAAGTGAAGTGAAGTGAAGTGAAGTAAAATAACCTACAGTCTTGCAGAAGCTAAACCGAACACTCACACCGATGGGTGTGTAACAGGCCGTTTTGTGGGACATCCGACACCCGAAAGAAGGGGATTGGTAAACAGTGCAAGAGATTTCTTCAAAGGTTAGTGGAATGGGCACTGATTTGCAGAGGTGTAAAGATTAACCAAACAGATGTTGGTTTATTACTGAATAGGAAGCCGATGTTGGGTTAATACAACACGGAGTGTTTTCCTAACATTGCAGAAGCAGCTGTTGGCCG